AGGTCTGCTCAAAGCCACATCTGCCAGCCGGACATTACACATTTACTCTATAAACTGGAGCACTGAGGCCTGACCAGTTATATCTGTCTGACAGTAGTCAAAAAGCAGACACAAGTTTGGGTAACAAACACAAATTTGAGAGTTTTGTCAGTGTTGAGAGAGGAAGAACCCCGGAGTCTGAACCAGAGAAGCTGATGGTGAGCAGAGCCTCCCACTCCAGGGCTGGTCCCGTGGAGGTCTGGAGGCGAGCGCCGAGGCGGCAGGGCAGCTGAGACCACCCTGCGGTAAATACTGTGGAGGCTGTTACAAACACCATTAGGGAAAATACATTTTAATGAAAAATAGGTAGGAAGGGTATAATCTTTGACTGAAGGACAATCACTAAACTGAATACTCTCCACGTCACAAAATCTGCACTGTCCAATCTTCTTTCTGGAACATTCCTCGTGGACTGGTGTGCTGGGACCCCGGTGTGGGGGAGGAGCTCGGCCTTGGAGACGGACCCCATCTGAGGTGACTGTGTCCCTCTGAAGCCCAGTCTACCGGTAGCGCAGGGGCAATAAGCACAGGGCGAGTTTAGGTGAAACCGCACATGGGCGCCTTCTGCAACAGCGCCGGGGACTCGGAGTTACAGGCCCCCAGTCCCGCCACAGCGGGACCAGCGGGGTGCGGTGTGCGTGTGCTAAGCTACGTGAGCATTGCTGCACGAGGCAAACTCGTTCTGAGAAAGCTCCGCTCCCAACAGTCAGACTGGGCCTCCCAAGGAGCCACGGCCTGTGCACGCATTGTCCCCACGCCCTGTCAGAGCGGACGCAGGCCCTGCTCTCGATGAGGCACAGAGAGGCTGATTTTAGCAACCCTGGACTGTGGCTCCTCCAGTGTCTTATTTTTCTACTCCAAGCCAAGCTGAAGGCAGCCAAAGAGAAAAAGAACACCCCAAATTTAGGAAAGCTCCGCTCATGAGATGGCACACATGGTGGCTGAAAATAGCCCGAATCTCAGCGCCTGTTATGTAAGCACCGAGCCTCACAGGGCGGCCGAGGACGTGGTTTGGAGACCAGCAGAGCCCTGCGCCTGGCTCGCTTTTGTAGCACCGGCAGCAAACTGGCCTGGGCCCTCTGGTGGATTTGTCCCCGCTGGAGGCCAGCACCTGTGTGGACCCCTCCTGAGGGCGCTGGCCCAGCTGACGCCAGATGGCGGTTTTCCCAAAGCCCCTTGGATGAAAGCACGGGCCAGCTGACACTAGTCCAGGTTTACAGCCCCGGGGGCGGCATCAGTGTGCCGGCTCTACCTCCCCACCCCTGGCCCCAGCTCCCCTGCACTGGGGACGACCGTCCAGCTCTGTCCCCACCTCCTGTCCCCTGCAGAGCCATGGTGGCGATCAGATGGCACCCCGACTCAGAGAGGGACACGTGCCCAAGAAAGGCCACAGGGCCTGGCTCGCAGCAGCCCAACCTCCCCCACGACCCTGAACTGTCTCAGGCACCCTGCGTGTCTGTCAGTGCCTCTGGTCACAACCTTTGTCATGATGCTGTCGACCATCTGAACCCCACCTGGCCGGACACTTCATTCATTCCCTCCTTACATCCCAATGCCTCGTACGGTGCCAGGCACCTGTGGGGTCTCAATAAACGAGCTGAATTCATGAATAGCATTGTTGGCATTAATATGATCACTAAATCCTTATAACAAAAAGATTGGAGCTCAAAGAGAATTTGTGACAATTCTGCTGGAAAAATGCTGACTTTTGAGACCACAAACCAGTATTGGGGAACCTCAAGATTACAGGAAAAAGATAGAAAAAAACTCTCTATTTTTATCATGTAAGAATTAGTGCAAACGTGAAAACTCAGACACCAACTTTTCAGTTACAATTTTCACAAAACAGTTTCAAAGATGAGCCAGTGGCTTCAGAAATTCACCTGATACAAACTCGATGCTGAAAGAAACCAGGTTTTATCCTCGGCCTCTGGAGGGCTCGACGCCGACAGCACAGGCCAGCTCGCCCCAGCCACGCTGCTATCCAGTCGGAGATCTCACAGGATCACCTCAGTTTGAAAATGGTTCATCTGCTTCTTTTGTTTGTTTTTTGCTGAGGAAGATCAGCCCTGAGCTAACATCTGATGCCAATCCTCCTCTTTTTCTGAGGAAGCTCGGCCCTGAGCTAACATCTATTGCCAGTCTTGCTCCACTTTATACAGGACGCTGCCACAGCATGGCTCGACAAGCAGTGCATCCGTGCACGCCCGGGATCCGAACCGGCGAACCCTGGGCCATTGCAGCGGAGTGCGCACACTTAACTGCCTGCACGACCAGGCTGGCCCCTAGTTCATCTGTTTCTTAAAGAACAATCTTGTATCTGGAGAACCTCTTGTTATCTGACCAGGAGCAACTGACTGACTCGAGAGATATTTATGGGAGCCTGTCTCGGGGGCCGGGGCTGCCGGCCACACGAAGATGGACAGGGCTTGGCTGTGACTTCAAGGAACGCATGGCGTGCAGGCAGAGAATGGCTGTGTCCTTCCACAGAGAGAGGCAAAGTGGCAGCCTGGGAGCTGTTCTGCTCAGGGACGGGTGTGGAGGGAGCAGAGGCCGCCCGTGCTCCGGGGTGAGGGCCCTCCAGGGGGAGACGCATGTGTGAGGGGCAGAGAAGCACTTTCCAGCACGGACGAGCGGCCTGGACCCCACAGGAGGCGCCCACAGCCGTCACGGCAAAGAGGCTGGCCCCCCGGCCCAGGCCGCACCAGGACACGCCTGAGTGGGGATCTATACCAGTGGTGGGTGGGTCAATGTAGAAGAACCGGGTGGGGCCGGCCCCGTGGCTTGGTGGTTAAGTGCTCGCGCTCCGATGCTGGTGGCCCGGGTTTGGATCCCGGGCGCACACCGAGGCACCACTTCTCCGTCCATCCTGAGGCCGAGTCCCACATACAGCAACTAGAAGGATGTGCAGCTATGACATACAACTATCTACTGGGGCTTTGGGGGGAAAAAATAAAAAAAAAAAAATCTTTAAAAAAAAAAAAAAAAAAAGAACTGGGTGGGGTATCTAGATTGGTGAAATGCCGTTACAGGACAGTACCACCTTTTAAACAACCACCTACTCGACTGGGAACTTCTTGGCATCCGTCCCAGGACTAACTTACTGATTCAAGAAACACCTGCTGTGCCGTGCAGGCGTCCACTGCACACGTGACCCAGTGGTTCTTACAACTGAGTTCTTCGTCCAGCCTGCCATGTGACATCACATGCAGACTTATTTTAGAATTTAAAATAATGAAACGGACACGTTGGCTCTTAACTGATGATGGGACCTCAGAAGTGCTTTGTTAAGTTTCTGAGGATTTTAAAACAAAGGAGGGGGCTGCCTGGTGGTGTAATGGTTAAGTTCACATGTTCTGCTTCGGCGGCCCGGGGTTTGCCTGCTCGGATCCTGGGCGCGGACCTACGCACTGCTCATCAAGCCACGCTGAGGTGGCGTCCCACACAGAAGAACTAGAACAACCTACAATTAGGATATACAACTATGTACTGGGGGCTTTGGGGAGAAAAAAGAAAAAAAAGAGGAAGATTGTCAACACATGTTAGCTGAGGGCCAATCTTCCTGAAAAACAAAACAAAACGAAACAACAACAACAAAAAACAAAAAAGTAAAACAAAGGAAAGCTGATGAAATACCACGTCTACTTCTTTGGAACCTTCCGAAGTGTTGGGATGTGTCTCAGATCAACGATGGGGTAGGAAGGGTCTGCTGGGTGGGCACAGGCAGTGGGCAGTGCAGGGAGACACTTGATGAGAAAGACAAAGGCGGGACCAGCTCTCCAGGGATGGGCGTGCACCCAAACGATGTAGGTGGTGAGAGCCAGAGAGGATCCTGAGCCCTCCTTACGGGTCAGATGAGGTGACAAGCCCATCTTCTGGGAAGGACTGGATTCTTCACTCGCCCCAGGACACTGGACAGCAGGCTCTCGGAGGGCAGGAACCAAAGACGGTTTGAACCCAAGACCCTGAACAGGAGGTCAGGAGAATTCACTCCATTGGGGTTAGGTTTTTAAGAAACCCTGGGAGCAGCAGAGCCGTCACAGCCGAGGACCCTGGCTGCGGTCACTCTGGGTCACCCTGCTTACAGACAATCAAACGATCAAAGTCGGTCCTTGGGGAAGCAAGTGTGGGCAGAACCCGCTTGGCAAGAAAGCTCGCCTTGGAGCTGGGGGGTGGGGGTGGAAGCTCTCACCAAAATAAGATTTGGGGCTTTCTGCTGACTTAACGCTTCCCTCTTCGATGATTACTGCAGGCTAAAAAAATCAGACCAGCCGCTCTTCTCCACGGAGGGCAGCTCTACAGATGGACAGAGAAAGCCGGCACTGAGAGACACTGGACACAGGAATGGCAGGCTCAGCGGCTGATGGAGCCACAGAACTGAAGGATCAGCTGCCCATGTGGAAAGGAGAAAGTCACCTAGAAAAAGCTATTCAGTATAATTTCAAACGTCGAGTCTGAGGACTGTGTAACACACCCAACACCTGCTTATTCAGGACCTGTGCTCCGTTTAAGAAAGAATACACAGTAAAACCCTGAGCATCTCACACCCTTGATGGTCAGAAATAAACCAGCTGGTGAAACTGTTTTCAAATTCTAACAGGCCCCCTAAGAGTTAACCCATTTGAGAACACACACGCGTGCGCGCACACGCACGCACGTACACGCACACACATGCATGCACGCACATGTACACACAAGCACGTACATGCACATGCCCTAGCAACCTGAGGAGCCCAAGATGGTGTGGGGCCCCAGGCGTCCCTTGGCCCTGCCTCAGGCCACAGCAGCCTGGTGCTCCGAGCTGGCCGCACACCACAGCTCTGCACTCCACCGTGTAGCGTGGACCAGCCAGAGCCCAAACTGCCACCCAGGCAGGCGGGTCGCCAGAAGACAAACACTGCTGTCACCCAGCCCAGGAGAAGAGTAGGTGGGAGTGCCACCCACCCGGCACCGACACTTACTGCTATCCGCAGGACCGACGCCTTCACCGAGGTCCATTTGTCCTGCCTTCGGTCTATGACCAGGATGAATCCAATGCCGGCATCCTGCAAGCTGGAACGAGGAGAGAGATCTGCAATTAGTGGGGGCGGCAGCAGAAATCCCTAAGAAAGCCTGATAATAAAGCGATTCCTCCTAGAATCCTCATGCCACGTCCACACTGCAGGGTGAGATGCACGCCCAGCAGGCTTCTGAGCAGACTGTAGCATTTCCAGGAGCCTCGTCCAGGCAATTTCCAGAACTTGCTCTTATCTAAAGACAGACAGGTCTTTTCTGTGAGGCTGATTTCCTAGCCTGACACCAACCATCTCACAACGCAGAGATCCAGGAGGAGCGCATCTCCCGGAACTCAGTCAACTCATGTTCCACAGCGAGAGCCGAGTCACTTTCCTTTCCAGTTGACCAGCTGGCTAAACCCTCCAAACAAATGTTACGACCCAAAAGTCATGTTAGTCCTAGCATCTGAAGTCCCCGTGTTCATCCATGTTATAAAATCGCTCCGGCTGGCATTGCAACAACTTTGGGAGAAAATCCCCGAGTCGTCCGGAGCCTCACAAGCATCTGTTGGAAATGGGAGACGAGACCTGGCTCCTGGCAACAGCAACATGGGCTTTAAAGACAACACTTGGTCTCTGTGCGATGATAACCTCCGTCCCAGCTTGCCTGATGCAGAGCCTGAGTCACAGCGCAGAAACGGGGAGATCCGCTCCCGCTGGGTAATCTCACACCAGAGCCAATTGTGTGACACCAGCAGCTGCCCCGCCAGCCAATCCCGGCAGAGGTGGATGAGAAGGCACGCCCAGGCACCGACCTGACTCGCTAACGTCCCAGCATCGGAACACACCGAAGGAGCCACTTGTGGGTTTAAATCAAAGTCAGAATTATACAGAACACACGTAAATTATGCAGTCTCTGAAAGTGCTCTGCCTCTGCAAACGTTATGTAGCAAAGCCAGAGCTGTAATATCCCAAATCCTGTGTGACTCTCAGATTTAACGATGGTGAAGCCACACAGAAAACGCACACCTGTGTGGGTGTGTGCTGTTGATTCTGTGTTCTTACGCTCATTTGACAATGAAGGACGCTACCTATTTACAGTAATCTCTCATAACAGCAAAGAACTTCCCGGTAAATGCACAAACATCAGCTTTCACTCAAAACAGCCTTCCTGCTGTTGACACCAGAGCCCACGTGGACACACAGTGAGAAGTCAGCTCTGCTTCACAGCTGTGGCGGCACTGCGCACAGGTCTGTCTTCTCGTCTGGCTTAGCTCCTGTGGAGGTGGGGTCGTTTTGTTTGCACATCACTTGAGTTTCAGTCCAGGAACCCAGGGTTCACAGCCATCCTGGTCCCCACGACACCCCAGTACCTAGTGCTCCACATAGACCCCTGGCCAACCTGCCCAGCTCAGGCTGCGCAGGCCAGTTAGGAAGCTGAGATGGAGAAGAAGCCCTGACCACGGGCTCCGTCCTGGGCTGGCTGCAGGGGAGGTCCAGAGCGCGGTCTGCGGCAGGCATGCGCTCTCCTCCAGGCAGCCCCAGGCAGGTCCTTGCTTACGTCAGTGCAGCCTCTGCCGTCTGCCCATGTGGGGCGATCTGACCCTGCAGTCTCAGCCTCAGCTCAGCCACGTGACGGTGACCTGCAGTCTCAGCCTCAGCTCAGCCACGTGACGGTGACCGGGGCTCCGCTTGTCTGCTCGCCCGAGGCCTGGACGGGAGGAAGTGGCGTCTTGGGTCCACTCACAGGGGCTCGCTGAGACCTCCCCGCCCGACCGCACGCTCTCTTTTGAGAGGAACAAGTCACAGGCTGTTCCCCTGATGACGCCAGCCACGCACACTTCTCCTCAAAGTCTGCTGCACCCTCGGGAGCACTGGCCGGGATGGCTTGACAGACAGGGTTCCCTGCCTTCCCCCCTCACCTCATAGGTGAGCTGCCTCTGGGCATCCAGGCTGATCCCAGTCACCTGGATCACTCTTCCCAAAGTGGAGGAGACGAGGCCCCGACACCGGTGCTCACTGAGCGCACCACCACGGGACCCGAAGAGCCCAGGCAGGCACCCTCCAGTCCCAGGGCAGGGAGCCGGGAAGTGCTCCCACTACCTGTCTGTGAAGAGAAGCCCCGCCTGCCGAGGGCGCGCACCACGCAGGAGAACACCCGGCCTCGCTCTGCAGTTGCTGCCCGCCACATGCGCAGGGCTCTGGGGCCACTCGAGGTGCTGCCCTGGATGGGCGACTCCCCCGAGAACCATCAAATGGGAACCAAACTAGTGCCCACCCTGGGAGGCTGCTGGGAGAGTGCAGTGAGCTGCTTCTGGGCCCCACCACACACTCTGTGACGCGGATCCTCGCTGTGGCTGCAGCATTCTCCTTTCGTGGAAGGACAACTCTCCCCTTTCCCTGGAACGGAGCTTCGATCCCAGTGGGACTGCAGGCTCAGCCTCCAGCTCTGCCGTGCGGCAGTGGCCCCTCGTTACTCCACAACAGACCCCAGAATGTCACACCTGGTCTGAGCTTCTGAGCCCAGAATACTCCCTTCTGTGGCCAACATACCCAGTTTGCCGTAGCGCCCAGCAGGCTGCCCCCAGGCTGACCCCACTGCCCTCAGATCATCCTCGTGTTTCTTTGAACACTCAGACCCAGGCAGGACAGCAGCGGCCGCCTCATGGGCGTGACGGCCCCGGCCTCCGGCCCACGCGCCCTGCGGCACAGCCGCAGCTTCTCCACGTCCCTGTCCCTGCCCCTGCCTGTGTTCCCTTCGTTTGCACAGCTGTGTGTAGAGACATTCCAGTGCACACGAGTCTCCCGTCACGACTGTGATCGGGAGGCCAGCGTCCCGGATGGGACTGGCAGAGCCAATGCGATGAGAAAGCAGAGCCACCAAGGACACGAGGTTTTTAAATTAAAATTACAGGGGGCCTATGAGGAAGGATAAATCTCCTTGATTCACAAAAACATGCCCTAGGGGGGGTTTCTCAGCGAGGACAGCGGTCTCGGGGCAGGAGCCACCTGAGCCCACACCGCGCGGCAGCCTGTGGGAGGGGCCGGTGGGAGGCTCAGTCACAGCTCCCCTCACCCCAGGCCAGGCCCGGACCCTCCGTGGAGGAGGGACTTCTCGCTCCTCGGGGTTCAGGCGCTGCGCCAGAAGCCCAACAGCTATTCTCCCTCTGAGCCTCACAACGACCCTGCGAGGTGGGACCACTCTCTCCAGCCCTGGGACGAGGGATGGGGGCACAAAGAGGGGAAGTCGTTTGTCCAAAGTCACACAGCAGGTGAGCCTCACCGTCTGGCTCAGAATCCCCCTGTTAGCTGCCTGCAAGCCACCTCCCAGGCCACGTCCACCTCAGAACAAAGCGACACCCTCTCTCCCCCTAACCCCTGGGCTGCCCCCTATGTCGGGCCAAGCAGAGGCCCTCCTCTTCAGGGGTCCCTGCACCACTCCTGGTGTCAGGGGACATGCTGAGGCGGACCCAACCTCAGAAACAGACAGCAACGATGGTCACACGCCAGGACCCAGCTTGGAGCCCAGGAAAACTCTCCCCCGTGCCCCACGTCTCGTCTCCCGTCACATTCTGGGGATGCTGACTCAGGCACAGACTTAGCTAACAGAAGGCATCTTACGTGGGGGTGTAGAGACCTTCACACCTCCCATGCGCCCCCAGGACTGCAGCCCCAGGAGCGGGCGACCAGCAGCCCCTGGAGGCCCGTCATCCCTCCCACGCTGAGGAGGGTCCAGACCTGCCCACACGAGTGAAGGACCTGGGGCTCGCGGGCCCTGCTTCTGCCCCGCATCTGTGACCCCATGTGCCCAGGGGACAGGGCAGTGTGGCTCACGCTGGATGGCACAAGAGGCCGCCCCTGGGGTCCCTTGTGTGCCAGGCCTCGGGCGGACTGCACTGAAGGTGGAACGGGAGAAATAGAGAGCGTGAATTCAGAAGCTGGCAGCCACACAGAAGTGTCCCCAGTCCCCTGGGCACACACAGCCCTGCAGACACACAGTGGTCGGCCTCCAACCTCCCGACAGTCAGCTCGGAGGGCCAGCCGTCCTGGCCAGCCGTCCTGGCTGAGTGAGGCCGATGAGCTCACTTTTGGCCCCAATAATCAAAAGAGGCACAGAGCTCGCATAAACCCTGTTTCTGGGATTCACCATTCCCCAGTGCCCTCTCCAGCACCTCAGGGCTGGCTGGCCTTGGGCGCTCATGGGCCCACCAACCCCAGCGGGGTGGCCCTCGGTGGCCTGGGGCACGTGGGGCCCATCAGCTAAAGGTCCAACCTCCCCATCGCCGGGCGGGAGCAGTGAGCAGCCTGAGAACAGTCTGGAAACAGGCCTGGGAGGCTCCCTGACAGCGAGGTCTGCCGTCACCGCCAGCACATCTGTCCAGCTCCTGCCGAGCTTCGTCTTGCTCCCCTGACCCGCTGCTTGTTTAGACCCCATTCGTCACAAAGCAGGGATGGGTGGAGACGCAGGGAAACCAGGAGTCAGATGGGGAAAGGCATCTGCAGAGGGAGGGCCGCGGTGGGGAGAGCTGAGGGAGGCGGGGTGCAATGAAACGGACCCACGGCTGGCGCGCTTCTCAGACCGCAGCACGTCCCAGACTCCCGGAAGGCTTGTCACAATGCATATTCGGGCTCAGGAGGCCTAGTGGGGCCACCTTACTGCATTTCTAATGAGCTCCCAAATGCCTCTGATGCTGCGGGTCCACAGACCACACGCGCGTGGCGAGTCCTACAGATGAGCCCTGAGAACGTTCTGTGCCTGGCGATGCTGCATCTGTGTGTCTGAGCCTCTGCGCCACAGAAAGAGCCCCGGAAGGAGGTCCTGACACCTGGGGCGGCTGCTGGACCTCGGGGGCCTGGGCGGGGTCAGGAGGGAAGGAGGGCGGGAAGGAGGGGTCAGAGGGCAGCCAGAGCACCAGCAGCGAGGAGGAGCTTTTGGTCACCAGTTCTCCGGTGGCCACCCCTGGCCCGTTGCTATGGAAACCCTGAGCCTCCCGGGAGCCCCATGGCCACCAGGGTCTGCTCTGAGAGCCGCGTCCACCAACCCTGACCACACACCCC